AGGTGACGTTTTAACTGTAAAAATCCGTTAAAAATGGGCAATTATAGTAGTTTTTATAAGTTCGAAAATCCTAGGAGAGGCAGGCAAGCAAGAAATTTTACAACAAATGTTCCGAAAATTCTAGATGTCAAATCGTCTTCCGAACAGATATTTTCCGAAAATTGTCGTTGGGTGCCCCTGTCCTTTAGGAAAGAGAGGGCGACCAGAAACGCCGGAGTACATTTAAAAGGAAGATTAAAGAAAAAACAGAACCCTGAGCTTCATCAAATATCCTTGACAATTGGCTAACAGCTATTTACCGTCACTGCAAAGGAAGAACTTAATGATGTTTTATTGCTGCGAAAAGCCGTGAAAAGAGAATTTCACCTCTTGGTTCAGTACTTTGGTGAGGAATCTGTCAAGCCAGAAGAACTGTTTGGAATTTTTGCCACACTGTTGCGACAATTTGAGGTAATTGGTGGCGACACCCGAATTATTATTACTACACGAGAGTGCGTGCAGTTGGCAACACAATGTTAGCTAAACACTTTTTCGTATCCGGTTTAAGGTGACTCGACCCAGTTTTTTTGGGGGGGTACCATCCTACTTTGAAGCTCTCTGGTATCCAAGCGGATACCAGAGATACCATTTCTCAGCGGCGATGAGCGAGGACAAACGTCTGCCGTTCGCAGGCTATGCGGACGGTGGCAATCACTAAATGACGTGATACAAAAGGCTAAAAAACAATGAACAATACTGCACAACAATACAAAACTAAACATATCGCAAAAACAAACACTCAGGCATACCAGTTTTCAAGGTAATAAGAACCCTGATTGCTTTTTTTAGCGTTTTGTCAACACAAAATTGCTCTAGGCTGATAGAAATACTATAAACCTCTGGACTGTCGCAGATCATAATACCGGTAAAAAGAGATAAATTTATACCGAACTGTATCAGACGATAAATAACAGTGCACAATCTCCTCCTTCTAGGATGTCATGAAGACGTACAAGTAAAAGAGTCGAAGCTGAACAAAGTTTTCAAAGAATTTAAATGACGTGCCCGGCAGTAAAGGGGTTATGTATTTATTTTGCAGCTGGACTTCGAGAGTAGTCTCTCTTTTGCACCATTTCATGAATTAAGTGTAAATATATTTAATAAGTAGAAAGCTCTTTTTCATTTGTGCTGATTTCTTAGTCAGGACCAATGATTGTTCTTAAAACTACAATAAGTTGTTAGTATGACCAGAATTTTTTTTGTAAACAAAAAGTGAAAGACAAAAACAAGAGAGGAAGAAAGACATGTAAACTAAAGAAACAAAATAATGAGTAAAAAACTGACAATTTATTTAAAGAACGACAAAGACATTAAAATGGTAGTCTTGAGTTCATATATATGAGCTGCATGTGAATAAATAAAATTCGATGAACGGTAACCTTGTCAACAATTTTTTTCTCAAAGCAAAGGCGGTGACTGATATTAATCATTGGAAAAGTGCGAAAGCGAAAAAGAAAAAATCTAACACCCTGCGATTGTTTAGTTCAGCAAAGACAATCAGACATTAGTTTTCGTCTTGCATGCACGAGAAACATGGAGCCACGCTGGCCTCAGGCTGGCAATTAAGACTGGCGCTAATTATCTTTCCCGCCAAAAAAGTGTCAGTAGTAATGACACCATTGCAACGGCGATTGGTTAGTTTAAAACAAAGAATCAGAAACTAGCCAATGAAACTCATTTGTTCATTGTTACACAAGTTTCAACACACAAAAGTTGAAAAACAACGCTTTCGAACGCTTTTTGAGGTTGCGATACGCCCGTGCAAACTTGACAATTTTTTATCGCATAATTTACACGCATTAATCTTGAGGAGCTATAAAAGCTCTGGCAAATAAATGAAAAAGTCACAAAACCAAGAACTGTACAAGCACTCCGCCAGGAAAGAAGCCTCAAGAACTTACAACTTAAGCCATGGCTCGTACCAAACAAACAGCTAGAAAATCAACCGGTGGAAAAGCTCCTCGGAAACAGCTTGCAACCAAAGCAGCGCGCAAGAGTGCACCGGCAACTGGTGGAGTGAAGAAACCTCACCGCTACCGGCCAGGTACTGTCGCCTTGAGAGAAATTCGCCGTTACCAAAAGTCAACAGAGTTGCTTATCCGCAAGCTTCCGTTCCAGCGACTCATTCGAGAAATAGCACAAGATTTTAAGACTGACTTGCGTTTTCAGAGTTCAGCCGTGCTGGCTTTGCAAGAAGCAGCTGAAGCGTACCTCGTGGGACTGTTTGAGGATACGAATCTCTGTGCCATCCACGCCAAGCGTGTAACGATCATGCCTAAAGACATTCAGCTCGCACGGAGAATCCGAGGAGAGCGCGCTTAAAGGAAATTGACTGTGTGTGACTTTTGCTATTTCACAATTCATTTACCATTAAGACTCCCTTTTGCAAATTCAAAGATTAGAAATGTTTTCTTCCACGCAGCAAGGATTGTGTGCTAAAGTTATCTGAACATTTTGCTTGCCTGTACGGTGACCTTGATTTTTAATTTTTCTTTTCTTTTCCAATTTATTTAAATGTACTACTACAACAATGACGGACTTCGTAGGGACACGCCTGTAGACTTCCGAAACGTTTACGACTTGACGAACTAAAATACTAAATGTTTTTCGCAACACAAAGAAACATATATAACTAAACTGATTCGAGCACCGCGCGACTGAGGAGAAACTAACGAAATCTTATACGACCTCAACGAACACGAAAGTCCAAATTGACAAAAGCAGGTGTTAACGTAATACAAACAACAAATATCTTGACTTGCGAACTGGCTTGTTGACGCACCTTGACGTACGACCAAACCTGTACTTGAAAGCGAAGAACCAAATGTAACAAAGAATTCATAAAGTATTGTAAATAAGTTGTAAATCTGGAGTGTACTTCACGCATTGTTATAATACATCGTTATCACGATGGAATTGTTTTCTCATTAGTTTATTAAACTTGATAGTCCCAATTTTAAATCGCTGTTGTTGCGTTTGTTATTTCACATGCAAAGCTTTCTGCAGTCGTAATTTCAGACTACTTTTTGCATAGTTTCCCTGCCGTGAAATTGCCTTTGTAGGGAAACCATGGGTGAACTTTCTATCCAAGTTCAAAAAGAGGATTTCGTCGTGTCTTGTTCACGTCCTCCCTAAACATCATTTCACCCCGTGTGTCCAAACACCGCGACACGTGATGAGTTACTAAAGTTCGAATCTTTCTGTAAATATCACACCACTTGGCGCCGTCCAGTTTCACGCGTTTCTGCTTGTAGCGAGTTAAATTTATCATCTCATCATTTTCCCCCCGTCTCCACCCACTTGAGCAGTTTATCTTTCATTTAGCATATCTTAGTTCCTGTACGGCGGTTGGTGACATGACTATTTCTTTTTTCAATCCAGGTGAGCTAAGCGAAATCTAATAGAAAATTAAAGGAACTTGTTTACTGTAGCATGAAGCAGCTGTAGGAGTTGGTATAATCTCTCTGCCCCTTCCCAAACCTCCTATGCTGGACTGGCTTGCGGCCTATTGCAGGGTTGCACTCCGTATTACTTTGCCCGCAACTATCAACACCTCAGTGGTGAGGAACAGAGGGAAGCAAGGGTTTTTTTCTGTCTACGGAAACAACATACTGAAATCGTACATGGTTACTCAACGATATATAAATCACTAGTGAACAATATTTTATTCAAGATCTTTACAGGAACATATACATGAAGCCAGGAGTATCAGCATATTAACAGCACAACGAATGTTCTCAATTACATCACGAAATGAAAAGAAATAGTTATGGTGTTTGCATACTGAATAAAAAAATATAAAATAAATGAATAAGTTATATTATAAGTCTCACAAGGCTTCTTTTTAAAATTCTCTTATATTTACATATTATGAAATACCAACAACTACGTTAGTCGTCCTCTAGTTAATCACTAAATTTCAAACCAGTTTTTCCAGATGGACAAAACCGTTCTCGCCGTTCTTGCACCACATGCACAACTCATTTGAAACCGAAATTCGGATTCCATATCCATGAGCAATAAGATACACTGTAATTGAAAAACGTCTTATTCACAAGAATCAGCTATAATCGTTTCCTTGTTTAGATATGCTGGGTTCCGCAGTTCGAATTACTCCATTGTGTATAAAGATGGAATGAAAGTTGATTTGGCAAGACAGTTTTCTCATGTGCCTTACAAGAGGATCCGAGTAGCACCAGCTTGAGAATTTTCCTGATCCATCTTATCTGTATGCTCTCCAGTTTACAAGTTGGTTTAATTTCCGTTTTAGATTGTCTAGTAACCATGACGACTAACCAGATCTGTCAAAAAACAAAAGGAAATGAAAATCATTTTTCAATCAATCAGGCAAACAGTCTAACGGTATAAATAAACTGATCTATCAATAAATCAACCAATAATTCACTCAATCTGAAACTGACCAGTCAGTCAATCAATAACTTGCAGACTCACGCAACAAACTCTTTAGTGTGACTAGACCAATGCCTCCCTTTGGATAGCAAGGAAGAATAAGGATACACTGATAGTCTAGTGTTACACTGGCTAGGGTTAATCAGGCAGTCAGTCGGTTGATCAGTCAGACAGTTAGTCAGACAGATAATCAGTCAGTTAGCCACACACTCCATCTGTCCATTAATCAGTCGGTCGATTGATTTATTAAACAGCACGCTGGTTAGTTTCTTCAGTCTGTCAAGTAATTAAGTAAAAACTCTGACATTAACGTCAGCCTCTCAAAAAGCAATTTATTCAGTCAATTAACAACCTTAAAGCAGAAAATAAATAGCTCTATCAAAACACCAAATAGAGATCGCTGCGGCAAAATATATATCTATGGCCTGGCATCAACGATAGATGGTATTCATTTCCTAACCTTTGTAGCTATCTAGTTCATCTTTCTTTTCACTGACGGCAGCTTTTTTTCCAGTGCTCTGAAAAATAAAACGAAAAAAAAAATACTTTCATCATTTTGAATTCAATAAACTATCAAGTTCAGTTTTAAAGGGGAAAATACATTTAAAAAGTTAGTATTATGGAGCTAAGTTCGATAGGAATGAAATCTAATACCTCCCTAGAACTTAAATTTTATCGCAAAAATAAAGAGAGAAAATCTTCCTTTCTGTACTAAAAAGTGAAATCTAAGTGTGAAATTCTGAAAACCAAAATCATTTGATATCATGAGTTGAAGCACATTACCTTCAACACCGGGCGAGGAATACCTAAAATATCACATAGGTTGTTTCTTGTCACTCGAAGATCTTCAATTTTTGCATCCCTTAAAAAGACAACAAGAACTCGGAAATTACAAAGTAACGATAAAACCAGACTAGTCTCTAGCATGTAAAACTAAAGTCTCTAACAACAAAAAGGCACTTGCGCCAGTAATCACATACATTCGTCAAAAGCGTTTAGAGAGTTAGTGAAAGGGTTAAGGAATAACTTCTAGAGATTTCTTTTTATGTTATGCCGTTGAGTAAAAGGTGCCGGATCCCATCTTTTGAATTCGTGGCTGGATGACCTGGCCTAATCCAAGAAAACTTACTGGGATCACTGTTCATTATGCTGTACATGATGCCGCTGATTCTCAATCTTTGGATATAATTCTAGGGTACGTATGATCAATGGCAAAAACGTTTTTTTCCCCTGGCAGAAGCCTTACTGTTTTACTAAGCTGGCATTCTGGTCTTGGCGACCCAAAATGTATTCTGTCATCCTTGATATACTATTCTGAAATTACGGTTGAGACACCAAGTAGATAATATATACACACTCTTACCATGAGGTTTCGCTCAATATCGCTAACACGTCATCCAGCTTTTCGCCAGGAATTATGTCATCAAATGTTAATGCAGCCGAATACAGTTGATCAGCGGTAGTTTTCCGGACCTGGAAATTGAGTTTTAAAAGCTTTAGTTGCAAACAAAATTAGCATGAGATCTAGATATCAAGAACCAACAGGGGTATACAAGAATTGAAATGTATTGTTAAGTATTTAAGAAGACTCAGGGTCAGATTTTTGAGATTGTAATGATAATGAATACAGAACCTTTGATACCAGATGACATCACGAGACCAAGCACTAGAAGAAGCCGATCTTATCCTCAAATCCACAGGTATAAGTTAACAATACTTTAAAAGATTGAAGTGGACGACTAAAATATATAGAGAGGCTTAAAATCCCGCTAATGGTTTTATTGAAACGTTCACGAGCTCTGGGACCAGTTAGCTTAGGCAGCTGATAACGTATGGTGTTAATTAAAGAGTTTTTAACAGGGTGCTGAAGCTCATATGTTAGCCACTAAAACCAACGTTGAGAAGATTCACGCACTGACTGGCCCCTTGATCATACTAAGCGCACGAACAAGTTTATGTCTTCCCATATTTAAGGTCAGCGGATAGAAATTGAAATTTGTGTTTTCGTTCGATCGTTACAGAGCTCCCTTGTCCACCTTTTTGTCTTCAACCGCTCACTCTGTCCACCTCTTGCTACTAGCGCTAGACATGCATAACGACTTCAATCAACAAGGAGTGCTCACCTGGGGATATTTATGGCAGAGAAAAATTGTGAGTTGTTGAAACGATTTGGTTCTTGTCACTCCTGGGAACTGCAACAATCCACAGAACCTAGGGGTACAAATACCACCCACATACACATTAAACGCTTTGTGTCTTCACCTTGTTCGTTTTATCTTATGTTATCAACAGCCAAAGTAGCAAAGATTTCGAGTTGGCTGCTGCTTATTTGCAAAATAAGGAAAGGAACAAAGAAAAAATAGCAACAACAACAACAAATTAATTCAAAAGGCAATAGTAGTAAACCTGATATCATCAGCTCATTCAAGTACATCTTTCATGCATTAAGGGGAAACAAGTTATAGTTTACAGCTTTCATAAAAGAAAAAGATAATAGATATAAATTATAATAACTGTCAAAATAAGTTTAAGTTGGAAATCTAAGGGGAAAGAAACTACAGCTGACATTTGAGGGGATGGTTTTTAGTTTTCTTTATAAAACTGCTAGTAGAGAGCCGTTTTTTCAAGTACGCAATGACACCTGACGACATATAGTGATTCAACATAAACTTCTTACACAGTAATACTCGTTATGAGCTTCTTGGCGTCACCAAGTTTAAAAATTTCTTTCTTTGTGAGGTCACACAGCGCCTGAGGGAACGGATGGCTGTACGAATTTGAAAACAGGCAAACACAGTGAATCAATCGGAAGCGTACTTACTCTGCCTCAGTTGTTAATTGTCCTTTTAGTCTGTTTTGCCTCGCAACGCAATTCTAAATTTGTTACTGGCGTACTACTCACCACTTTAGAA